AAGGGTGTAGTGTTGTTGTGTTGGTTGGTGGAGATGGGGTGGTGTTTGTACATATGTAGGATGGGTAGGGTGAAGAGGAGTAGAGGATCTCACCCCTGGTTGGCTGCAGAGGTCAAGGTTCCCGCCAATGGTAGGGTCGAACAAGGAGTTGAACATGCTTGGGTGCTCCTCTTGGCGGGAAGAGTCGGTGTCGGGGGAGGAGGTGGTGGAGTCATGGGAGGGGGGCGGAGAGCCCCCTGGAGCTGAAGAGGTGTCGGAGGTGGGGGTGGCCCCCAGGGGGGGCGGAGTGCCCCCTGAAGCTGAAGAGGTGGGGGTGGCCCCCAGGGAGGGCGGAGGGAAGAGGGCGCAGGCCGGGGTGGACCCGCCGCTGGCGGAGCGGCGGTGGGAGGGCCCGCCGGCGGGCGCGTGGTAGCGGGCGGGCGAGCCGCCGGAGGCGTGGCGGCGGGCGGCGTGGCCGCCGTTCGCAGGGGAGGGCGGTGGAGCCAGCGCGGCGGAAGTTGAAGCTCTCCAGGCAGCGGAGGGAGGTCGAGTGGCGGCGTGCGGCCGCTCAGGAGGTCAAGCGTTCTGATTGGACGTCCGCGGGGAAAAAAACCAGGGCGGCGGACGGCGGCTTGCGGCCGCTCAGGAGGACCGGGGAATTAAATGTGAACAATCGTTCGGCAGCTGAATTTGGCCAATGAAGAGGTCCAGGGGACAGGACAGGGTGGAGATGGTTCCACGGCAGGAACCCGCGGGGAGAAGAAGGCAGCGGACCCCGCGAAGGGGCGGAGGCAGGAGCGAAGAGGGAGGAACCGCGCGGTCGGAGTCCGCGGCGACTATCCTGATTTGAAGAGGCAGATGCTCATTTTTATTCCTCGGTCCTCCCGGGCGGCCGCCTACCACCGTCCATCGCCCTGATTTATTTCCCGCGGGCGTCCAATCGGAGTGCTTGACCTCCTGAGCGGCCGCACGCCGCCACTCGACCTCCCTCCACTGCGTGGAGAGCTTCCAACCTCCGCCGCGCTGGCTTCACCGCCCTCCCCTGCGAGCGGTGGCCGCGCCGCCCGCCGCCGCGCCTCCGGTGGCTCGCCCGCCCGCCACCGCGCGCCCACCGGCGGGCCCTCTCACCGCCGCTCCGCCAGCGGCGGGTCCGCTCCTGCCTGCGCCCTCTTCCCAGCGCCCCCCATGGGGGCCACCCCCACCTCTTCAGCTCCAGGGGGCACTCCGCCCCCCCCGGGGGCCACCCCCACCTCTCCAGCTCCAGTGGGCACCCCGCCCTCCCTGGGGGCCACCCCCACCTCTGACACCTCTTCTACTCCAGGGGGCTCCCTGCCCCTCTCCCAAGATTCCTCCACCTCCTCTCCTGACACTGACTCCTCCCGCCTTGACGACCATCCAAGCATGTTCAACTCCCAGTTCGACCCTACCTTTGGCGGTGACCTGGACCTTGGCAGTCGACCTGGGGTGAGCTCCTCCACCCCTCTTCACCCTACCCCTGCTACATATGTCCACACGCCACTCCACCTACACCAACCACCACCACAACACTACACCCCCGACTCACCTCCACCCACCTGCAACCTTTTCCCCACAAACAACCCCTCACACCTACTACATCTTACCTGGGCTTACCATATCCTTGCCCCTTACGCTGATTCCCTTGAACCTACCCTTGCTGTTTGCTTTCGTAATGATCTTAAAAAAACCTTTGCACATATGTCTAACACATACCAGCAACGCCTCCTCGAGGCCAACAGCGCCACAAACGTCCTCACCCACCTCCTCAAACAAAATTTGCTCACATCCTCTCCTTGCCCACCTGTCCCTCCCCCTGCCTCCTCCACCCCCCCCTCCTCACCCCTCCCCTTACGTTCCTCCTCCCCCTCAGCTTCCACCCGCCTCCCCATCTTCCTCCTCCCCCACCCCTGCACCCAGCTCCTCACCCCCTTCCACTCCACTCCTGCCCACTCCCAACTCTTTTGCCGGTGTCGCCTCCCGACCACCTCCCGCTAACCCCCCAACCTACCAACCCCCCCCACGACACTCAAACCCCAACCCGCCCCGCCGCCCCCCTCCCCGCTCCAACCGCGGCAACCCCTTCCACATAGTCATCACCCAGGACCCCTCTGCTTGCACCCCCATCGACAACAACCTTGGCTCTAAAATTTCCTTCTCCTCCCTTAATACTCCCTCCACCCAAATCACCAACATTTTCCGCGCCCGCAACAAGATAACCTTACACACCAACTCTAAAAACAGTATGGACTCCATGTATGCCAAACTTAAAAACGCAACTAACGGCACTAACATCAGTGTCAACCTCCCCCCCACCTTTAAACCCCGCTTTACCCTTTTCAACCTGCCCAACACTATCCCACTCAGCGATTTGCCCTCCCTCCTCACCCAATCAGTCGGTTCCACTTGCAAGCTCGTAAGAACTTTCACCGGCCGCAACAATTCTACACACGCGGTCATCGAAACCGACAACGACACCGCCACCCAAATTCAATCTCGCCCCCGCCTTTTCCTGGGGTACAATTCTATCCGTTTTGACAGAACCAGGTCAACACACCCCTGCCGTAATTGCGGTGACATCCGTCACCGCAACGATATTTGCAATAAACCCCCCAAATGCCTCCATTGCGGCGAAGGCCACATCACCAACAATTGCCCCGCCACCGGCCTCCCCCCTAAATGCTTCCGCTGCAACGGCAACGGCCAGCACCGGGCAGACTCCCTCTCCTGCCCGGTCATCAAGGCCGCAGAAACCGCTTTCCTTAATACCCACCACCTGCTTTAAATGATCAAGTTTCTACAGCTTAACTGTTTCCGATCCCTCCCTTGCTACCTCTCCTTGCTTCAGTTTGCCCAGTCTTCCCACATCGGTATCCTCCTCCTTCAAGAACTCCCTGTCCGCAACAACGCCCTTCCCTCCCCTTTTCCCACCCCCTCCTCCTCCCTCCTCCATGCTCCTATCTCTAATAATCGCTGCAACACTTGCATTGTGGTCCTAAACCAAAGCCTTCCCGTCATCTTCCTCCCACGACTCTCCACCACTAACCGCACCCTTGCTATCCTTGACATCCCCGGCTTTCACCTTACCATATGCTCCGTTTACTTCCCCCATAATAAATCTTTTTCCCCCATAGTCGACTCCTTTATCTCCCTCTTTGGCTCCCCACCCCTTCCCCGCCTCCTCTTCGCTGGAGATGTCAATGCTGTTTCCTCCCGTTGGAGCTCTAAAAAACAGAACTCCAAAGGTTCTTTCATCAACATCCTTCTCGACACCCTCGACCTCAAGGTCTGCAACACCTGGGGGGCTATCACCCGCTCCCAGGGCTCCCGCTCCTCCTCCATTGACATCTCCAGCGTCTCTTCCTCTCTCCTCTCCTCCATTTCCGGTTGGACCTCCTGCCCCACTGATCTCTCCGATCACTTCGAGATCCGCTTCTCCCTTTCCCTCCCCCCCGACACCATTCCCTCCTCTCCTCCTCCGCCTCCTTCCCCCTTCCCCGGCTTCTCTTCCATTAGCCTACCATCTCAGCCTCCCCTGCCCCTTTTTAACTCACTTGCCAAGTCCCTCACCAACTCTGGCTCTCTTCACCACGCTCTCGACCACTGCAATTCACCCGACTCTCTTGACACTCTTCTTCAATCATTCTACTCTACCCTCTTTATCAAATGCTCCCGCCACCTCCGTCCCCGCCCTCCCTCCTCCAACTTCCCCCCCCCCCGTCCCCTGGTGGTCTCCCCACTTACAAGCACTTAAGTCGCTTTCACGTAAGCTTCGCCGCTCCGCTCAAAACAGCTCCCCCCCCAATCGCTCCACCCTTCAAAGCCAGGCTCTCCAGGCAAAAAAGAATTATACCCGCGCCCTTTCCAAGGCCAAAAGGGATCATTTCAGGAAGCTCTGTTCCTCCTTCAACCGTAGCCCCTGGGGGCCCATCCACAGATACATCACCCATGGCTCCTCCCGCTCCCTCCCTCTTTCCTCCGACTCCTTCCAGAAATCCCTCCTCCACTGTTCCATCAACGACTGCCTCCGCTCCACCCTCGACTCCTTCTTTAACCCTCCCCCCCCAGACTCCCGCCCCTTTCACTTTTCCCCCCTCCCTTCTCACCCCCCCCCCCTAACCCCCCCCCTGACCTCCCTTTCACGGCGGTCGAGCTCTCCATCGCCCTCCGCAACCTCCGCCCCAAGAAGTCTTGCGGTCTTGACTCCCTTCCCGGCCCTTTCTCCAAATGGCTCGTCCATTCCTTCCCCAACTTTTTCCTAGGCTTCTTCAACTCTTGTTTCTCCGCTGGACACTTCCCCTCCCTTTGGAAAACAGGCCGTCTCATCCTTCTCCCCAAACGCTCCACATCCACAGATCTTATCCAGAAAAGCCGCCCCATTATCCTCCTCCCCATCCTCGGCAAGCTCCTCGAAAGCCTCATGGCTTTCCGACTCACGCACCACTTCGAGAGCAACAACTTGATACACCCTCTTCAATTCGGCTTCCGCCGGAGGCGCTCTACCATTGACGCCCTCTCCCTTCTTCACAACAAAATTAAGCGGGCCGTGTCCAGGCACCAGTGCTGTCTCCTCATCAGCCTCGACATCAAGTCGGCCTTCGACCACTTGTGGCACCCCGCCCTCTTCGGCCGACTTGTTGCCGCCTCCTGCCCCCCCTCTCTCCTCCAATTATACCGCTCTTTCCTCTCCAACCGCACCATCCACCTCTCCTACCGAGGGTTTTCTCGCTCCACCTCCCCTTCACGGGGTTGCGCCCAAGGTTCCGTCAGCGGTCCCCTCCTCTGGAACATTTTCTTCAACCCCCTTCTCTCCCTTTCCTTCCCCCCTGGCGTCCACGTCCAGGCCTTTGCCGACGATCTGCAACTCCTCATCTCAGGTCCTCCCTCTAGTCTCCCTTCCCTCGCCCAATCCTCGCTTGACCTCATTCACTCCTGGTGTCTGGACAACAAACTCTCCCTCTCCCCCCATAAATCCCTGGTCCTTCCCATATTTTGCAACCCTCCCCATCTTACCATCGATAACACCCCCCTCACCTGTCCTGATACTCTGACCATCCTCGGCGTCACCTTCGATGAGCGTCTTTCCTTCACCCCTCACCTTCATCGCGTCTGCGATAAGGCCTCCTCCTTCCTCGGTAGGCTCTCCAGGTGCTCCAACACCATCTCCGGGCTCGGCTACGTCGCCAGGAGACGTTTCTACTGCAGCGTCGTCGAGCCCGCCATCACCTACGCCGCCCCCATCTGGTGCGAGGCAGTCAAATACCGCATCGGCAAGGCCAGCCTTCGCTCTCTCCAGCGCAAGTTCTGCGTCCACGCCATTCGGGGTTTTCGCACGGTCCCTACCCTCACAGCCATCGCCCTCCTTCGCGTCCTTCCCCTCGACCTCAAGGTCCTTCTCCTCTCCTCCCTCCTTCGCCCCCCCGACCCTCTTCCCTTCACCCCCGAATCCCCCCCTTCCCCTTTCCTTTTCCCCTCTCCCCCACTCCTCCCCGACCTCTCCTTCTCACTTCTCCCCCCCTCCGCTCCCGACCTCGACTACTACACAGACGGCTCCAAGTCGCGGAGCGGCGTTGGGGCTGGCGTTGCCAGGTTCTCCTCTTCTCCCCTCTCCTCTAGCTTTCCTCCCCTCTGCCTCTCCATTCCCTTGGCCTCCCACTGCTCAGTTTTCCAGGCCGAATGCTTTGCCTTTCGGTCCGCTCTCTCTGACCTCTGCAGCCTCCCCCCTTCCCTCTCCGCCGCCATCTCCTCCGACTGTCTCTCCCTCCTCTCCGCTCTCTCTTCCCCCCACTCCCCTCACCCCCTCGTAGCCCAATGCCAAACCCTCCTCTACTCCCTCCTCCCCTCCCGCAACCTCACCCTCCACTGGGTCAAAGGCCACTCCGGCAATCTTGGCAACTGCCAAGCCGACACCCTCGCCAAATGCGCCACCGCTGCCCCTTCTCTCCCACCACAATACACCCTCGCCCCTAAAACTGCCCACCACAAATTCCTCTCCCGCCACTTTTGGTCCCTTTGGGATGAGGAATTCATCTCCGCCAAGCCCACCTTCTTTCTCAAACTTGGCCTTTCCCCTAGCTCACTCTCCTCCTCCCACAGCTTCCTTCTCCCAAGTTCCGCCATCGCCACCGGTCTTCTCACTGGCCATACTTTCATAGCCGCTTTCCCCCACAAGAAAACCCCTCCCCCCTTCGACCCCACCTGTCCCCACTGTAACCTTGCCCCTGAAACCATTGATCACGTCTTTTTTGATTGCCCAAACCTTGACCCCCTCCGTGCCACCTTTTTCAAAAAATGCCTGTCCGACCTCGGTCACATCCCCACTTCTCTCCCTCAGCTCTTCTCCTCTGGTAAAGCCTGGGCCCACACCTTAGACTTCGCCACCCACTCAAACAGATTCACCCCATCCAACATCCCTCAACCCAGTTCCGACTCTGACACTTAACACAACCCTCCCTCACACCCCTCACTCGCCCTCACCCCCCCCTTACATCTCACCCCTCAACCTCTTGGACTGTTGCCAACACAACCATTACGCCTCCCTGAACTGTGGACTGTTGCCACTTTTTGTACATAGCTTTTGTTTTTCTTTTTTACTCTTTGGTCCACGCTCCCACCTCCCCCTGTACATACCCTATCTCCCCTATCTCTTCTGCTCACACCCACACCTTACCTTCTCTTGCCCTCTTTCTTTTTGGACCTCTCTTTTTGTTTGTTTGCCTCGCTTGTTCCTTCTGTATATAACCCTTTCCCCCGCTGATCTTGCCCTTGTCTTTGCTTGTACCTCCCATTTGTAATTTTGTTTGCTTGGAAAAAAAAAAAAAAAATTAATATTTAATAGATAATATAGTATAATCTTAACCTCCAGTGCCGTGGAGGTTGCGTCCCTGGCGCTCTAGGGCGTAGACCACTTGCTCGGGCCTGGAGCAGTGCTTGGTGTCGCCTTGGTTCCCTCACTATCCGCGCTCTCGCCCTCTTCTCCCCCGGGGCGCCCACGGCTCCGCCGGCGTCTCTCCAGCCCTCTCCTTGGCCCTCCAGTGCGGCGGGCTCACGGTGACCCCCAATGTTGATTTGTGCCTTAGAATGCTAACCTGATAGCATGTAGAAGGCGGAACAATTGTCATCATTAAGCGCTGGCGAGTTCGCCGCTAGCTCTCTACCTGCGAACATCTCTCCCCTCTTGCGCTCGCTCCTGCCATGGCCCCCACTAGGAAGAAGAAGAGGACTGCCGAGGTCGCCGCAAAGCACCTCGTGACCCTCGCCCAACTGGAGTTGGAGAATGAAGAGGCGATGGACGACGCTGCGAAGGCGTTAATGTATCCTGAACCCACCTGCCAAAATCGCCTGTCCCTAGTCATTACTGATCTCATCAAACTACGGAACAAGCAGATCAAGGCCCTCCTCGCCGAGGTTGAGAACCTCTCTGGCACCCTCGCGTCCTTCAAGGAACTGGACGATTTCAAACCGCAGAGTGCCTGCCAGAGCACTCAAACCAGCCCTGCTCCTTCCTGCAAGGACACCAGCTCCCAGACCGACTCCACTGAGCCCGCCACTCCGGCTCCAACCAAAAGGAAGCAGCCAGAGGCTCCCTGCCCGCCCGCAAAGAGGACCAACCTCAAAGGACCCGCCAAACCTGCGCCCACCCGCGTCCCCAAGCCTGCGGCCGCCCCAGTGGTCCTCCATGGGGATAAATCGGCGGCCCACACAGTGGTCATCTCTGATGACCCACAAGCTGACCCTAGAGCCATGCTCAAAGCCGTCCGCGCTGCCCACACTCTTCCCCAAGGTGTCTGGGCCTCCCTGCGGACCAAAGGGAAGCTTGTCCTCCACTCCAGCAACCCCGACACCATCCCGGCTGTCACCACCTCCCTGACCAACAAGCTGCAAGGCATGAAGGTCCGCCAACAGAAGGTGCTCCTGCCTCGCATCTGCCTCTTCAAAGTGGAGGAGGATACGTCCAACTCCACCATTGAGGAGACGCTGTTGAGGACTCCTGCTGTCAGCCAACTACCTGGGGACAAGGTGGTGCGCGTAGCGCACCGTTCTGCTCCCAGAAACGGGACCTGCACCGCCTTCATCGAGGTGGACCTCGACACCTTCAGAGCTCTGGGCAACCGCGGAAGGATCGTGGTGGACGGAGTGCTTCTCAACTTCGAGGAGTCCATCCGCGCACGGCTCTGCTTCCGCTGTTGTGGCTTCGGCCACAATTCCGCCCAATGCACCAGAGACTCCAAGTGCTTCCACTGCGGTGATGGCGGCCACGAAGGCCGCGCCTGCCCCTCCGCTGCCGACCGGCGCACTTCCAAGTGCGCCAACTGCTGTGCCAAGGGCCTCTCTGACAAGCACGAGGCGAGAGCCTCGAGCTGCCCCACCTTGAAGCTTAGAGCCCTCAAGTTCTAGGCTTCCAGGGCCTCCTGCCACCTCAACTGGCCACCTTCCGGGCTTCTCTCTCTTCTTGGCGCTGCTTCCCTGACCTCTCCAGCTTCCTCCCCCCCCCTGCCAGATCCTTGATCTTCTTGCCCCTGCCTCCTCCACCTCGGGGCGCTTCGCGCCCTTTCTGCGACCTGTTGTTGCCTTAAAATGCTTCTCGAATAGCATGTAGAAGGCGGAACAAATTGTACTACTCATTAAGCGCTGGCCTCTCCTCTCATTCGCGTCCCTGACACCAAACTGTGCACACATCACTGGATCACTCTTTCTCTTGGATTGCTCTTGGATTGTTCTTCTTGCTCGTGGATTATCTCATTATGGCGGCGGATACCTCCGCTTCTTCTGCCCCAACTCTGGGTGAGTCTTCCTGGGTCACTCCTTCTACTCCTTCTCCACCTTCTGCCATAAACTCTAACACAGCTTTTAGGGAGGGGTGGGAAGAAATAGACACCTCATTTAAAGGATGCCACCAAATCCTACAACATGAAGTAGGGTTAAGGCTTAGCGGGGATCTAGGCTCCCCACAAAATAAACACCTTTATGCTGAAATGGATAAGCTGCTCTCCCAACTTCAGAACACCGTAGTGGGCATCCTTCAGCGTAAGCTGAAGGGCTGCGACCTCAGAGTTGCAGAAATTAGAGCTGAGCTAGCAGCCACTAAAAGTACAACCGTTGCTCCTTCTCCCAAACCAACTCCAGCGGTGACTAAAGTCACCCCGCCAGCCAATGCAGGTGCTAAGCCTGCCAAACCATCCAAACCTAGTTACGCGCATATGCTGCGTAACAGCACTAATCACGTAAAGCTCGCTTCCGCGAACCTCTCTGTTAGCGAGATCAGGGCTAAAATCGCCCAGACGCCCAGTCTAAAGAACTGCGATGTAGCCGCGGTGACAGGGGGGGACAAAAAACTTGTCCTCCACTTCGCCAACCCCTCTGAGAAACAGAGGTTTGTGGACAACGTTAAGTCCGCCAACATTGGTGGACTTAAAGTCCAAACAAACCCTACATTCAAGCCCAGGCTTGCCATCTTTGGTATTCCCGGAGAGATTACTGAAGAGCAACTTGTGGCTGATATCAGTAACCATCCCGCTGTTGTACCGCTGCTGAAAAGCGGCGATTTCATCAGGATGGTGAAATTAATTAAAAAAGAGGGTGCCAACTCCACCGCAATAATTGAGGTCAACAGGGATATTGAGACTGTCCTGCTCGAGCGTGGTAGGATCACGATCAACTTCCTCTCGCTCAGACTCGCTAGAGCAAAGCGCGTCTTTCCATGTGGTGTCTGTGGCTGTCTAAGTCACAAAACCCACACCGACGGAAAGAAGTGCACTAGGGCGGCTAAATGTAGCCACTGCGCTGGTGCACATCTTTCCGAAGCATGTGAAAATAAAACAGCTTTAAAATGTCACAGGTGTGGTGACAAACACAGTGCCAACTCCATGGCGTGTAAACACATGCGGGAGGCACAGGACAATTTCAATAAATTATGGGTAAAATGAACGTTATTAAGTGTGTACAAGCCAATGTAAGACGCTCTCCATATTGTTTGTACTCATTGTTGAATGAATGTCGCGAGGAAAAATCGGATGTGCTATTATTGCAAGAACTCCCAGTTTCTAAAAACAGCTTACCCTCATTACCAGTGCCCCTTGACAGGGTTTGCCACGGTCCTATTATTGAAAATAAATTGGGAGCTGCTGTAATAATAGCAAATCCGAATTTAAAATTTTTACATTTATCTCACTTGTCTTGTGTGAATGCTGTATTTGTCCTGTGCGAAGTGAATGACTTGACAATCCTTCTGTGTACTGTCTATCTTTCACCATCATGTTGTTCTGAAGCTCTTCTTGATAGGATAGACAACTCTTTAAAAACAATTAATTTCCACGAGGTGATTTTTTGCGGCGACCTTAATATTGAATCATATAGATGGTCAAATAAAGCGCGGTTGCTTAAATACAATTGCTCCAAGAGAGATAACATCGAAAACTTCATTGACGCGAATTTATTCCACGTCGTCAACAAACATGGCACGGTCACGTGGGAGGAGGGAGATCAATCTTCCTCCATCGACGTCACGTGTTGTTCTGCCGGCCTCGCGGACAAGGTCACCGATTGGGACGCTATCAACCAGGCTTTATCTGACCATAAACGCCTCGTGTTTAACGTTAATTTAGAACCCCTCTCTTCTAACAACAATAGTGATATACATGTAAACAACTTTAGCGAAGTAAACTTCAGCTTTGGTCGCGCCGACTGGGATTTTTTTTTTTCCAGCTTTAAAAAAAAAATTTTTAAAATTTCATCCTTAATGGATGCGAGTGACACAACTCAAGTCGATGAAGTAATTAATTTACTAAAAGACGAGGTGTTTCATTCGTGTCTACAAACCATTCCCTCTAAACCTGCCACCAATAATTTTTTTTTTAAGAAACCCACTTGGTGGAAACCTGAACTAAATCCGCTCCAAAAGGTTACTCAAAAAGCTGAACGAGCCTGGAGAAAAGCTCGTGGGCCTGTTAGAAGCGTGTTGAAAATATTTTATAAGAAATTATATAATAGATTCCGCACCTCTATCAGGCACGCGAAATCTGCTGAATGGAGAAGGATCTGTTCGCTTTGCGAGGTTAACCCCTGGGGCGGCGTTTATAAATTTATTAAAGGCTCCACCAAGAGGAAGCCTCTTTCCTCTCTCCTGGTTGGCGATGATCTCACTGACAGTCCGCGGGACACTCTAGAACACGTATTAAAACATTACTTCGGCCGCGTCCCGCCCGATATAACAGTAGAGCATGTTAATTTACATAAAGCCGTGCAGTCCACCTCTGAAAACGACCCACCGTTCTCAGAAACAGAACTGTTACTGGCTGCGGATAAGGTTAGCCTTACTTCTGCTCCTGGCAGTGATGGTATGCCACCTTTAGTCATTGTTAAATTAATAAAAAAATTCCCGACGTTCTTTTTAAAGATCTTTAATAAGTGCTTTGAAACTGGACACTTTCCAACCCCTTGGAAACTGGGTGATGTCATACTCATTCCCAAAAAAGGTGGTGAGGACTTTCTCGCGTCTCATCGGCCCATCACGATGCTGCCTGGCTTAGGTAAAATTCTAGAGCGTCTTATCCTGGCCAGGCTCTCGTGGCGAGCAGAGAGGATGTGTAAAGCCCAGCCAAACCAGTTCGGTTTCAGGCCCTGCAGATCTACTGTCGCCGCACTTCTAAATTTAAAAAATAATCTCTCCCGGTCGCTTCAACATAGAAAATCTACTATTCTACTTTCCTTTGATGTGAAAGGCGCTTTCGACAATGTGCTACACTCCAGCATATTGCGAGCTCTGTGTATGAATGATTGTCCTAAAAACCTGTTTGTTCTGATTCGCTCCTTCCTTTTTAACCGTGTTGTCAGACTGTCTATGAATGGTTGCACGGTCACGAGGCAGGTTTCCAAAGGCTGCCCGCAGGGCTCAGTTCTTGGGCCGTTTCTTTGGAACCTTGTCTTTGACGAGCTCCTCACGCTCAACTTTAAAAAATGTGTACACCCGCAGGCCTACGCCGACGATCTTGTTATGGTAGTGTCTGGCCAAGTTACTCAGCAATTTGGAGCGGCGCAACTTGCCATTAATGAGATCACGAGGTGGTGTGGCCTGCATAAATTGGAACTCAGCGTGAGGAAGTGTCAGGCCATGCTCCTTCTAAGACGTACTGGCAGGCTACTAAAACCTAGCTGCGATCTAACCATTAATGGTCAACCCATTCAATGGAGCGACTCAATCAAAGTGCTGGGAGTAAGGTTTGATCGGCGCCTCTCCTTTCACCAGCATGTGATTGAGGTTTGCACCAGAGTCCGCGGATTTCTCCCGCGTTTGACTGCAGCCGCCAACTCCAATTTTGGCTTTGGTTTCCGTGCCCTGAGGATGCTCTATCTACAGGTTGTGGTCCCAGCCATTTCTTACGCCTCTCCTGTGTGGTTTCCTAATCTAAAACAACGCTCTTTAGATACTCTCTTAAGCGCGCAGCGCCCGTTCCTCATCAGGACATGCCGCGCGTTTAAAACAACTGACTCTTGCTCTCTCATCTCTCTTTCCCGTGTTCTCCCTCTCGATCTGGATGTCGGCGCCAAAGCGGAATTGTACTTTAAAAAGCACAGTTTTGTTGACGACGATTTTCCAGTCGAACCTCCTCCCTGCCCTCACCCACTTCCCTATCCTCCCTATTACTCCGCTCCCATTAATATTCCTGATCTTTCGGCTGACGTCACCTACTACACAGATGGTTCCAAGACTAAAACTGGAGTTGGCACAGGCCTATATAGAGTGTGTGCGAATGGCTCAATGAATGAATTGCGTGAGAGTTTTGTCCTGTCCCCGTACTGTTCTGTCTTCCAAGCGGAGGCACTTGGCTTGATTAAAGCACTTGAGGACGCCTCAAAGCTTCCCGACAATTACACCATTGAAATTCTCCTGGATAACCTCTCAGTTGTGAAATCCGTTCTAAACACCAGAACTGGCAACCTCCTGGTAAACAGAGCCCTGTTGCTGATTTCACAACTGAACCGCAATGGGAACAGATGTACCATACAATGGATCAAGGGCCACAGCGGGATTTTTGGTAATGAGGTAGCTGATGTGCTCGCGAAACGCGGGGCGGAATCTGATCTCCCGAGCTGCTATCGCCTCGCACCGCTGTCGAAACTTAAATCGATAATCTACAAGCGGGCGTGGGCGGCTTGGCAGGACAGATTCATCTCCGCCGAGCGCAGAATCTTCACCCGCTTTGGCCTTTCTCCAATGAGTCTCTTGGACAAAAAACATGCGTACATCGTCCCCAGTGTCCACGCCGTGATTGGCCTACTGACTGGTCACACATGGACAGACAGCTTTGCTCACAGATATGGATTCATTGATGATCCTATCTGCCCTTTTTGTGACTCTGGAGCGGAGGAAACTCTGGATCATATCATGCTCGAGTGTGACAGTCTGGACTCCCTCAGAACTCGTCTATTTTTTATAGCGGGGAGGGAACTCGGTTACACACCGAGGGCGCTCCGCGACTTCACTCACAGTTGTTTAACCTGGCGAGCCTGTATCGATTTTCTCCTGGCTTGCGACAGGCTGAGACCGCGGATCCGAGAGGTGGAGTCAGAGGAGATTCCCGACTCTAATTCCACCTAAACTTTGCATCAGTGTTTTACCTGCATATGCGTGTATCACTAATTATGTATGCGGTGTCAAACTTTTAATTTGCCAGCTGGCTTGTGGTCGGGATTTCACCAAGCGCCGTCTCTATTCACCCAAGGTTTAGAGGGCAGCGGTTGAAATTGTACGCCGCTCGCTGATTGGTCGATTAATCGCGCGACGTCACAACCGGGGGTTTTATGGTCTGGCGGCCGCTCATTTTCATTGGTTGGCAAAAGGTGCGGTTTAGTACCACCAGTTTTTGCACTCTGGAATACTTTCTCCTCAGAGAAAAAAAAAAAAAAAATTTTCTGGCTCCTTTGATAAGGTCCTTTTTTTTTTTTGCGTTCCACACCAACATCCCCAGGCGCTGTGTGCTCTTCTATATTTATCGATTTTTTCTATCCTGTGCTCTTCTAAATCTTTTTCCTTCTTTAATTCTTTATTTTATTCTCACTATAATTATTAAAATATCTTTATTCTTTCTTTTTCTAATCTTACTTAATTTTTTATTAATAATACTATAACTTTAATTCTTCTACTATTCTCACCTATCTCCTTATTTATTTATCCAATTATTGCTATTTTTATTTTTTCTTTATTCTATTATTACTAGTAATTCTCTCTCTCTTTTTTCTTATTTTTTATTTTATTTTTAAATCAACCTTATCGCAATTGCCTACCTTTCTTTACTTGAAACCTCTTCCTCTCTTTCCCTCTGACCCAGGGATACTCACCTTTGTTCTTCCAGCATCAGCACGCTTCACACTCTCCATGGGCACCTTGGGGGCCCCTCGTTTCTCTTCGCGGATGGGGTTGGAGATGCGTCTTGCGCCGCCTCTGCGTGCGTTGCGTCGGGTGGTGGGCTTGGTGATTCCCTGGTTATTGTCGCGGGGGACTTTGCTATGTCAAACTTGTACTTTGCCTGCTGGCTTGTGGTCGAGATTTCACCTAGCGCCGTCTCTAATCACCCAAGGGTTAGAGGGCAGTGGTTGAAATTGGACGCCGCATGCTGGTTTGCCGTGGTCAGTCTGATTCATTTCAGCCATTAGTAGAGCTAGAAGGCCATCCCATTTGGTCAATTAGCTGTAACCATTGTCAAGTCAGCGCTGGCCTCATCTGAATCATGACTGGACGCGGCAAAGGAGGCAAGGGACTCGGAAAGGGTGGCGCCAAGCGCCATCGCAAAGTCCTTCGTGACAATATCCAGGGAATCACCAAACCCGCCATTCGTCGTCTCGCACGTAGGGGTGGTGTGAAGCGTATCTCTGGTCTCATCTACGAAGAGACTCGCGGCGTTCTTAAGGTGTTCCTGGAGAATGTGATCCGTGACGCTGTCACCTACACCGAGCACGCCAAGAGGAAGACCGTGACCGCCATGGACGTGGTCTATGCCCTCAAGCGCCAGGGACGCACCCTCTACGGTTTTGGAGGTTAAATCTCCCAAAATCCAGTAGAAGGAACCAAAAAAAAGGCCCTTTTCAGGGCCAGAAAAGCTTGAAAGAAAGGTTGACCAGATACAAATCACATTGCAAATGCCGTGCAAAAACAAATGAAAGATGGCACAATATAAAGAAACCAAAATAAATAATTACAAAAAAAAAATATATATATATATATATAGGTAAAACAAACTCAAGACTTACCTTTAAATATTCCTTCCGGTGTTTTTGGAGCAAGTGGTCAACTGTTATCTGCGAAAACAAATAAATAATTAACCAACATCGTATTAATAATTAAAAATTGAGAAAGAAAAGCAAACCTAAATCATTAAAACAAATATCTGGGGGGCCCCTAAGTAATTTTAGAGAGAGACACATATTTTTGAGTAAGATAGGAAAAGTTTAAATAGGTCAAGGAGTTTGTGTGTTTCGAAGGAGGAGAAATTTGAAAGAGTTAACAATCAACGGATCATTGTTGGCTTAAAAAGTGAGTAAAAAAAAGTTATTTACAAAATTAAAGATTTACACAAAAAGAAAGGTCAAAAGAAGCACTTGTAAATTTGGAGCTTTTGTTAAATTGCCGTGCCTTGTAGAAAACTGCCTCAAAAAGCCAGGCCAGTTTTCCAAGGACCTCCTGACAGAAAAATTTGGGTGTGCATACACATTTAATATGTGTATATTGCAGTATCACACACTATATATGTATATTGGAATGTGTGTGCGCATATGTTCAGGCACTCTAAAAATATCAACAAGAGCAATAAAATAAAATAAAAGACCCAAAGATATCACAGGGTGACAGATAAATGAAAAAAAAAGGCCTTGCTTCATTATTGGTAATGAGCAAAGCATTCTGGTACCCGCACCAGCTTTGGAATGGGAAACAAATTGATAAAATATGTATTTTACACATTACATCAGTATCATCAACATCAGTATCAAAACCTTCAAATTGTACCAAGGATTACCTCAAGGATCAGTCCTTAGCCCAACTCTCTTCACCCTATTTATTGCAGGCATAGAAGAAATAATTTCACATAAAACGAATATTGGACTTTTCGCTGATGACAGATTTTTGCTCAGTCTTCAGATCAGAACTTATAGCCATCTATGAAGCCTTAAAATCCATCAGAAATATTATTTATCAAGATATCTGGATTCTTACTGATAGTAGAAGTGCCATACAACACTTGAGTCACACAGGGGAACTCAGAGACAAAGTAAGCAGGAACATAATTGGTTATCTCCAAAAACTATCAAAAACCTCAAAAATTCACCTTCAATGGATACCCTCGCACGTTGGAATTGAAGGCAATGAAGCTGCTGATGTGCTAGCGAAAAAAGGCACAAAAGAACCCTTGCCACAGAAAAATAAACTTACTTTTAAAGAAATAGAAACAATAGCCAAAACAAAAATAAACAAGAACTGGAGGATCCCACCTAAGCACAGTTGGTACAGTGGAGTGAACCCAGGAGGAGCTCTGAACATCAGAAATAGACAGCATCAAACAACACTAACAAGATTTAGAACAGGCCATCTCAAGCCATTGAAGATAGAAAATAATAACAAAATTTATCCCACTTGCCCAAAATGTAGTTTGGTACCTGCAGCTCCAGAACACATTTTGGCTTGCATTAAAAGCACTAAACAGGACCTTTGGAAGAGGCCGCTGCTCATCATAAAACAGCTCGAGGAGCATGAACTCATGGAATTTGTGTAATCTTTACACAAGGGGATAAGAAAGAACAACAACATCAGTATTAATGAATAGACTTATAAAACTATCCATATGTTTGTAAAGGCACAAACTTTTTCACTTCAGAGAAGAGCAATGAGGGAGGGGAAAAAAAAAGGTGAAGAAGAAAGCAAGACTTAATGCTCCCTTTTAGATGGCTTACAAGCAACCAGATATGCCCCCATCATATGTGAGCCATATATTTTTGGAGCCGCGACTGAAATATATAGCATTCCCGTTTAAATATTTTGAGAGAGCAGCCGGAAGAGAGTGTGTCACCCTCCCAACTTTGAAGGACCCTAAAACAGAAATCCTTCCACTAATGGAACAAAATAAGGTTGATCTGGGAGGCACAAAGCTTCCTTTTAAGTTTGAGGGGGGAAAGGAAGCGCAAATGCAAACAGACTATTTTTAAGATCAGTTTGAATTCGAATTTCACAGGTTCATCGGGCGCCCGTTATTTCAAACGAGGGTTGGCAACAGCCTTATACCATTCGAAACGGCACCAAAGACACACCATTGGATAGCCCGAGGCCTAATCTTTCGAATGCCTTCCACGGTCGGCCATAAAAATGCCCATTAGGGCTGCAAATAGGGCACCAAAACAAACACTAAGGCACATTTCCGAAGCGGCCTTCCAAGCCAACCAAATCGCCGCGCGTCCTCCTGGACGGCCGCAATGGTAGGGCATAAAAATTGGCAATTTGGAGCTGGCGCTCGACATTTTTCCAGTCATGACTGAAGAAGTTTCTACCCCGACCGCTGCTGCTCCAGCTTCTTCTTCCCCTAAAAAGGGCAAGGGAGGCAAGGCTGCCAAGCCCAAGAAGCCCAAGGCAGCTCCCACCCACCCCAAGGTTTCAGAGATGGTGACCACGGCCATCAAGACCTTGAAGGAGAAGGGAGGCTCCTCTACCCAGGCCATCAAAAAGTACATCGCAGCAAACTATAAGGCGGACGTGGACCGCCTTGCTCCCTTCATCAGGAAGTATCTGAAATCGGCTGTGGAAGCGGGAACACTGACCCAAACCAAAGGAGTTGGGGCTTCTGGCTCCTTCCGCCTCGCCAGCTCTTCAAAGCCCGCCTCCACTGGTGAGAAGAAAAAGAAGAAGGTCGCCAAGCCAGCTGCTGCCAAGAAGGCTGTCAAGACTCCAAAGAAGGCTGCCAAGCCCAAGAAGCCCGCAGCTGAGAAGAAAGCCGCAAAGAAGCCTAAGGCTGCTGCTGCTAAAAAGCCAAAGGCCGCGAAAAAGCCGAAGGCAGCAGCCACTCCCAAAAAGCCCAAGGCACCGAAGCCCGCCAAAAAGACTCCAGTCAAAAAGGCAACAAAGAAGGCAGCAGGCAAGAAGTAACTTGCTGTTGTTTCGAACTTATTGTTTAAAACGGCCCTTTTCAGGGCCAAAAAAATTTGAAAGAGAGGTTTAACCAGATAAAAAATACTTTCATTTGAAAATCCAATTTTTCAATATATATATATGTGTGTGTGTGTAAAACACGCTTATTATTATTATATATATTTTTTTCAAATAAATTGCAAAAGTAAAAAGAAGGTAAGCCGGCTGGCTCCCTTTATGAACGCAGTAGTAAAAAATATATATAATATTTAAAACCTTCCAAAAATAAATAACTGATTATTAAAGAGGGGAAATGTTAATTTTTCAAGGTTAAAAATAGCCTTTAAAAAATAACTCGCCTGTAATAATAAATTTTTAAAAAAAGAGAGAGAGGAGAAATAAAAATATGAATGGAATAAACATTTAATTGAAAAAAAAAAATATATATATATATATATATATATTTAATGTCATTGAATAAATAAAAAATAATCAGGCGCGCGCGCGCCTTTAAAAAAATAAAATTTTAAATATGTAAAATTTAAATTTCCATATATATTGAATAAGGCGCGCGCGCATTTAAAAATATTAATTTTTCAAATAAATATGATAGGGATTGCAATCTTTAATTATATCCATCATAATGTATATAGATTGAAGCGCTCGCCTTTAAAAAAAAAAAGGAATGTATAATTATTTCGAATTAAGATGTCTATATATATATACATATAAAATAATAATAATTTTTAAAAAATAGGCCCTTTTTACATAAAAAGCCCCATGTAAATGTTATAGATCTTCCTCACAGATCAATAATAAACCTTAATACCAAAACCTAAAGGAGAATTTTATCGCAAGTATTTAAAGGTGAGGTAAAAGTACACCAAAAGACACCAATATAGAAACAACGCCTTGCATAAGTTAAATATCCATCAAAAGGTTCTCACACAAAAGCGCCACATCAACCTAATAAAGGAGAGATTGGAAAGATGACAAGTGTCAGTGATGTCCTATAATATTTTCTTTAAATAGCAACCCTTCCTACATTTTTCAGTTTAGTAGGCATGCTTACGCTGAATATCTTCAAAATGAATAAAATTCTGGTTAAACCTCTCTTTAAAAAATGTTTGGCCCTGAAAAGGGCCTTTTGGGTAAAGTTTGCTAAGTAGCAAATTTACTTGGAGCTGGAGGTGTATTTGGTCACAGCCTTAGTTCCTTCAGAAACGGCGTGCTTAGCCAACTCTCCGGGCAGAAGAAGGCGGACGGCAGTCTGGATCTCCCTGCTGGTGATGGTGTGGCGCTTGTTGTAGTGGGCCAGGCGAGAGGACTCGCCAGCAATGCGCTCAAAGATGTCGTTCACGAAGGAGTTCATGATGGACATGGCCTTGCTGGAGATTCCAGTGTCGGGGTGGACCTGCTTCATCACCTTGTAGATGTAGATGGAGAAGCTCTGCTTTCCCTTCTTCCTGCGCTTCTTCTTGTCGGTGGTGCGCACAGCTTTCTGTGCCTTACCGGCCTTCTTGATGGCTTTTCCAGAAGCAGCGGGCGGCATGTTGTCAACCTAGATGAAGTAAGGCCAGCCCGAAAAAATATATAGAAATTATCCTCGTCCGCTGTAAGTCCCAGAGGGACTTTTTCGGATAAAAACAACAAAAAAAGACAAACAACAAGCCGCCCGCTGCAAGGAACAGACAGCAAGGGTCGCAAGGCGCAGAAAGCTGCAAGAGACACAGAGAAAAAGATAGAGAGAGAAGCAATAGTCAAGGAAGGAAGTAAGGAAGTTCAAGTACACAAACAGCCCCCTCCCAAAAGGGCTTTTTCAGGGCCAAACAAATTTTTTTTTTTTTTTTTAAACATATTCAGGCAGGTTAGAGAGTAGTCAATGGTCGAAAGGGTCAAGGACAATTCAAAACTTTTTACGGAATGGTACAAAAAGTAAAAAAGAAAATTTTAAAAAGTATCAAAGCACAAGGGTAAAACAAGAGATAAAGAGATAAAAATAGAAAGCACACAAATTAAAGCAACATTAGAGAAAACTATATACAAGAGGTTGAGGGACGGTAAATTGGGGGATCAGAGGAAATCATAATTTATTAAAATTATTATTAAAATTTTTATTATTATTATTATTTTTTTTTTTTTTTCTTTTGTTTCCATTCTTTATCCTATATCTTTTTTCTTTTTTTTTTGGGAAAAAATCCTCTTTTGTTTCCTCAGTCTTTTTTTTTTTTTTTTTTTTTTTTTTTTTTGATCCCCAAAATGAGAAAAGAAATAAAATGCCAGGATACAAACATTAAATTTAAGTAGAAAAAGCAAAATTGATAAAAAAAAAAAAACAAAGCAAGAAAAAAAGGTGATCAAGGAAGATAATAATGTATGATGACAAGGAAAAGTTACAAATGTGGAAAAATCAAATATGAAAAGGATAAATAGCTGAACAGCAAAGGCAAAAGAAAAAAAAAATATATATATATATATATATGTATAAAAAAGACCAGGCTATATACAAAGTGAAAGTGAGAAAAAAAAAGTATAGAATAAAATAAAACAAAAAAATAAAATAAAACAAGCATAGCAAGACATAATTAATTAGATGAATCATCAGAATCAGGAATATTTGATTGAATAAACCTGCCGCACCTGCTGGCAAAGTCAACCGCCAGACGCCAAACTTTGGGCGAGCTAACCAGGTCTTTTAGAGATGAAGGGATAGACCCAACCTCAGTTAAACAGCCTTTGTAAAAGGAGGACCTCAAGTCGTCCAATTGTGGACAAGTGAAGAAAACGTGGGAAACAGTCTCATCACCCGTTCGACAGTCGGGGCAGGAAGGGGTGAACAAAAGTTCTCCTTTCTTGTATCGGAAGGTCGCAATGAAAGTATGACCGGTGATAAACCCAGTGATGTAGTCAGTTGTAGGGAAGACAAAACTGTGGTCTGTAAGGAGAGATAAAGGGGAGAGGCCAAAAGTTTTAAGGATAGTAGGGTTTGAGGAAATAAATTCATCATTCCACTGCCTCCAGGCCTGACGGTGGAGGTAGCGAGACACAGTTTTGGCTGAGGCAAGAGAGTAAAGTGGTGGAGTATCTCTATCGTTAGCCGCCCTACGAGCTAGGGAGTCGGCAATGATGTTGCCCACCGTATCCGCATGGCCCTTTACCCAGTGAAGGGAAATAGACCTAGAAAGAAGGAGATTGTGGAGAATCCTCTGGCATTTGAAAACAAGAGGATGTCTGGAATGAGGGTTAGGAAGGGAATTTAGAAGAGAGAGGCAGTCAGAAAATATAGCAATAGTTGGTTGGGAGGGAAGAGAAGCAATGTCACGGAGAGCAGTGAGAAGAGCGAAGCCCTCTGCTTGAAAAACTGAGCAGTGGGGAGAGAGAGGAAGAGATAGAAAAAGAGGAGAGAAGGAAGAACCAGGGCAAGGGACGCGGGCAACACCAGAACCAACTCCAGAAGATGTCTTAGAGCCATCGGTGTAGTAACTGATGTCGGGAAGGAAGGAGGGAAGAGGAGTGGGGGAGAGGTCAGGGATGGCAGGGGGAGAGGGATAGATGTAAGGCAGCGGCCTCCTCTCAGCGCGGAAGGGAAGTGACTCGGGTGGACGAAGGAGGGAAGAAAGTAGAAGGACCTTCATGTCCAAAGGAAGGACCCTAAGAAGGGCGATAGCTGCAAGGGTTGGAGTGGTGCGGAAGCCCCGGATGGCATGGACACAGAATTTTCTTTGTGTGGACCTCAGCTGGCTGCGACCAGCCCTGGTTTTGGCTGCATCTTCCCAAATGGAAGCAGCATATGTAATCGTTGGTTCGAAAGCCCCAAGGTAAAGCCTCCTACGTGCATGGAAACCAAAGCCATATCTGGCATTGGAGCACCTCTTAAGACGGGAGAAGAAGGATAGAGCCCTCTCACAGACCCTCCGTAAATGAGGGGAGAAGGACAAGCGATCATCGAATGTGACCCCGAGGATTTTGAGGCAGTCTGGGCACTCCAGCTCTAAACCATCAATCTTCAAAGAGGGAGGGTTGTTGAAGATAGGGAGGACTAGGGATTTATCCGGTGAGAGAATTAGTTTCCGGTCCAGACACCACTCGGAGATCAAGTCGAGGGTCCGTTGCGCTGAGGAAACAATGGAAATGGGAGGGCCAGAGACAACAATCTGTAAGTCATCGGCGAAGGCCTGTACATGAACACCCGAAGGAAAGGGTAGAGAGAGGACCGAATTGAAAACAATGTTCCAGGCATGTGGTCCACTCTTGGAACCCTGGGCGCAACCACGGGTGGGAAATGCAGAGCGAGAATAGCCCCGATGGGAGAGGGAGACGGACCTATTGGTAAAGAAAGATTGATAGACCGCTTGGAGAAGAGGAGGACAGGAAGCATCAGCAAGGCAAGCAAAGAAGGCAGGGTGCCAAAGGTGGTCAAAGGCAGACTTAATGTCAAGACTAATTAGGAAACACCCTTGATGTGTCTTGACTGCCGAAGAAATCCTTGATTTTAACAATGAGAGGGCATCAATCGAGGAGCGGCACCTTCGGAAGCCAAACTGTAGGGGGTGTAATAACTTATTTGACTCAAAAAAGTGAGCAAGCCTATGAGCAATTATGTCCTCAAAGACTTTACCTAACACCGGTAAAAGGGTGATAGGACGGTGGCGGGAGGCAAAGTCTTCAGAGGAGGACGCCTTGGGGACCAGGACAAGCCTGCCTGTCTTCCAGAGAGTAGGGAAAAGACCAAGAGATAGGCAGCGGTTAAAGAGAAGTAGGAAGAAGGAGGGAAAGGAAGAAAGAAGCCACTTAGCAAACTGTCCAGGTAACTGGTCAGGGCCGGGTGCCTTCCTGGGATTAAGGTTGTTAATTGCCCAAGAGTACTCAAAAGGAGTAATAGGAGGGTCAGGAGGAGAAG